GGATGCCACTTCAAAGTCAAGATGCATATATATACATATATATATATATGTATGCAATCAGGCCCCGCTGTGATCTACCACAACCTTTATCCCAGACATGCGCACCAAGCAGTGCGATGAGAAGTCTGCATTACATAGTTAGAAACATATTCAAATTTCTGCTTGAAAAGGCATTGAAGAGTTGTCAAGGTCGTAGAAGTAGTAAAAGTCGTCAAGGTTGTATATGTTCAAGATTGTAGAAAATGCAAAGGTTGTCAACATCGTGGAAGTTGTCAAAGTTGTAAACGTCGTAGAAGTAGTACAAGTTCTGGAGTGAACTGGTTTGCGTTTCCGCTTCGGTACTGCCAAGCATGACGGAGACACCACCTAAACATGACCGAGACACCGGGGGACACCACCGCCCAGGCCGGGGGCCGTGGATCCAACAGCACCCAAACACCTAAAGAGTGTACAACCCAAAGTGATCGCTATTGGGGATTAAACAAAAGGCTCAGACTTAACAACTTATTTACTCACAAAAGGAATTTCTTGCGAGATACAAGGACAAGTATATCATTGAACATACCATGTGTGGAAGGTTTCTGAGACCTGTGGAGGCGGTGTCCTCCAAGACAAGTCCAGAGGCCGGGGAGTATGTTAGCAGAGGACATAGCATATTGTTTGATGCATAATTTAAACGGAGACTGCCATGGTACCAGGTGAGGCCCACACAAAAAGAAAAAAACGTTCGTGAAAGATTACATGTTGAAAGATGCATGTTTGCCAAGTATTGATAAAAGTTTAGATTGTTCAGCTGTCAACTGGTATGCATACTGAAGGTAATGAAGAATGTTGAAATGCAGTGCACTGCATAGGCCAAGATATATTTCGTAGAGGAACAAGACACTAATAGATATAGGGAACACAAACCCCAGAAGGTCATCTGAAAGTCACTTTGCAATAAATGTACCACATAATGTCACATAACACCAAAATTGGTAGGCATGGGGAGGTTGCACGTAAGTGTACGTGAATAGTAGCGTCCTTGCTCCTAGTAGTATAGCCAGGAGCCCCTAGTAGCGAACATTGCTCCTAGTAGTAAGGCACTTGTTACGAGTACTAGTAGCGATGCCAGGAGCCCCTAGTAGCGTCCTTGTTCCTACCTGTCTCAGCATGAGAGCCTTGGACTTGGACGAAACACAAACCCCAGTCGTGATAGAAGTCTGAATGCGGTTGGGTCGCCGAAGTCGTTGCATAGCCTGCGGCAGGTGTCATTGACATGGCAGCTATCAATCCTGAAATTTCAGCTCCACATCGTGCTTCTTGAGATCCAGCTTTCGCACAGTCATCCACAGCCTGCACCCTGAGAGTAACAGCAGCTTGGGTCTGTGCATGATACGCTGCTTTTGGCGAACATGCTGCAAACAGGCAAACACAATGTGGACATTGGGCTGACTGAGCCAGCGGCGAGAAATGCGAAATCCATGCAAAGGATGAGATCACATTCAAAATGTTGATGGCGCAATTCCTTGAGACAAATTAAGGTGCTAATGCGCAGATGAACACAAGAACGAAAGAGACTGGATGAACTTGATTAAATTCAAAAGCTCCAACAATCGTCTTGAACCCAAACAGGCCATGTTGACACACCATGATCACGCATGCGGAAATTCAAGCGACCTGGGATTGGGGCACGACTGGGCAGCATCCCTGATCTGGAGGAGGCTGCGAATCAGAAACGCTGCCTTGGTGCAAATGAGACTCGGTGAGTTGAAGTTTCAGCAGCCTACACTATCCACCCGCATGTTCCATTCACAGTCTCACGATGGATAGCTTTCAAATGAAACACATGACAACGCAACCAACAGCTGCAGTAATTATGCATCATTATTGTGCAAAGTCGTGCATCCGGGTTGCTGCTTGAAATACGTCTGCAACACAAGCCGTGATATCGAACTTGCGATATTTGCGGGACTTGGTTGACGATGGTTGACGCAACTGGATTTTCTTTCTTGTATGCAAGATTATTCAGTCAGTGGTGCACAATGACTGGATAACACCCTTGATACCCAAGCTTCCCGAGAGAGCAGCTTGAACTTGTAGACGGTGTCAAGAGCTGGTAGAGCTCCGCCGGGTGGGAAATACTTCAAATACGGGCGCTTTGTCGTAGTGATCCCGTAGCCGAAGGCTCTCTCAAGCTTGCTAGGAATGTTACAATCATACCTGACGCCTGCACCAGCAGTTGCAATTTCCCCAAAAGCTGCGACAAGGGTTGTCCAATCAGCAGAGCAAAGTGCGCCAGAGTTCACAGCGGAAGAACATGCAGATGCTGCCAAACTTAGGTAGGCTGACACCCAGGTGACGCAAGTGATAAAGCCAATGACGTTGATGGCACAGCCCACATCAGAGTCAGCACATCTCTTGCCTCGTTGATCAATAGCTCGGAACAGAACTACAATCGCTTCCATCAAATAGGTCGTGGCCTGGACTGTGTCAATAACGCACTCTGTTCGAATGTATGGGTAATCTCCAGACTCTTCGCTGATATCCGCATAGAACACATCGCGAAGACTACGCAAGGGTCTGTCGAGCTGCAAGCCTTGGGGAACGCAGCTTCGCTACAGAAGGTGCACAAAGGTATCCAAGCATACAAGCAACGAAAAGGGAAGCCAAAAAGGGCCTTGACAGAGAGCCACAAAAGTAAACAATGTTCTTATGATTAATATCTTATGCGATGCGTAGCATTTGAGCATTTGAGGGTTTGTTGCAATGTGTACTTCACTTTTGAACACCTGTTTCGCCCGAGGCCATGGCCTTTTGCTCGGGCAATCGTGGATTCTATCCTTGCGCCCCAGTCCTCCACCGTCGAAGCATTTGGGAATGCCTTCACAAAATCCTCCCATTCCTCTGTTGACGCCGCGGTATCCATTTGCCTGTCGAAGAAGCTTTGCAACATGGCTTGCAGAAACAAAAGATAACAAGAGGTTGTTTGTCTTGGCCCACACGAGACACAAGCATTCTGACGTACCTGACCTACCATCCGCCACAGATGTTGGTTCTTCTTCGATGCATTACTTTACTACTCCGTGTAGCATCTTGTTGCCAGAAACGAAACGATCTTTCGAACCTTTGCTTTCTCAAAACCCATGGCATTCCGCACGCTAAGGCATGGCATGGCACAGCTACAAGGCGCAAACTGTGCAGAACTGTTCATGTTTCGAGGGCGGTTTGGCGCCATTTGGCGCCTGGTCTCAGTGGGAGCAAAGCAATGCATGATGATCAACAAAGCAGCTCCGCTGAGTAGAGCTGCTAAACCCAGAGCGGCGCTCCGCCAACATTTCCATGAGCGCACATTTACATGGGTGGACCATCCCACATCACGACCATCCCACACTTCCTGCACCTTAGTAAACCGCAAATTAGCAAGCATAGCACTTGGCGTCGCTTAACACTCTATGAATGGCGGAATTGCTGGGCATTACCCACAAACTTCATCTGAGCAAGGGGCCTCCAGGATACAGGCATTTTCTGAGTCTTCGTCTTCAATCACTAAGGCTTCCATTGAATTAACGCAGGGCGCGCATTGGCAAGCCCTACAACTTTGAGCCCATTCGGCCAACACACGCGCAAACACTTTAGCATGTTTGTTTGCCGCCACACTTCTGAAGAAAAATCAAGCCAAGGAATGGGTTGAGCGGCTTCAAAGAAACTGGAGAGCGCAACACTTCAATAGCAGCCCTACCCCAGCTGTGGAGATGAGCAAAACAAAGTCCTTGCTGAGGACAGATCGGGTAGCAAACCACCAACGTCGCCATGCTCGGCTGACCACCTCAAGTGAAAAAGGTCAATACGCCGCATTTAGCACCAAGTTTCTGGTGATGCGCATTGAAGGTGTGCTTGAAACCAGTAAGCACCACAGTATCTGAAGCTACTTGGCCACTTGTGAGCCTCACTAAACGCAGATTTGCCAAGCCAAGCCTTACATACAACAAACTCTTGCTCCATTCAAAACCGGCATGGTTTGACATCCATCTGCATTAGCAAAATGATTCACTGAAGCACGAACCAACTCCAATTCGCTAAAGCTGCAGTTCGCTTCACATGTGCTTTCGCCTGTTTCAGCTTCCCTGTGACGGCTGGGGCAATGGATGCTCACTCGCGTTGGCGCGTGGTACAAAGGACGCATTCACAGTAGCGACAATCGCTATAGGTTTGTCTGTGCAGAGCGCACGAGAGGATGTCGCAGCAACGTAGATTGGGAAATTACTCTGATACCAGTACTGAACATGTAAAACGAATTGCTGAATGTACTTCGATGACTGGAAACACGGTGAGATTATTATGTACTTTGCAAGGAATGACTCTGCATCTCAGCAAGATCCGCTTTGGACGAAGTGTGGCGAGAAAATCAATCTGCCTCAAACAGACTCTCGTGGGGCATCACAAATTAGCAGGCGAGTGTGTGGATCGTCAAGTCAATTCTGTAACCAGAACCCAGAAGCAATGTTTCTTTCCAAACACTTTCCTAGCACTTGCGACAGACCAATAACTCCTGCGCCAAGCGCCGCTTGGCACCAGCAATTTGTTCGGACAAAGTCTTTCTATGGTGTCCAATATATATATATATATAAGCACAGCCACTGATCTCTTTTCACGCGTTGCAGCAGGTTTGTCCA